GTCTACGAACACTCCTAGAGCATACTTTTTATTATGGAGGGCTCTCTCTACCGATTTCCCTTTGGTGTAGGCATGCTGGTTGGTTGACATCAGTCTCCCTACATCATTCCTGATGTGTAGATCCAGCTTTTCTAGTGTTTTGAGTAGAAAGGATGTAGGGCTTATCGGTCTATAATCCTTGGGGCTCATATGGCTGCACTTTCCTGCCTTTGGAAGGAAGACAATCCTCGAGATCCTCCATTGGTTAGGGATATAGCCTGTGCTTAGGCAAGCTGAGTATATTGCAGAGAGCCATGGGGTGATCACGTCTTTGGTCACCTGTAGCATGGCTGGGAATATACCGTCTAGTCCAGGTGCTTTTGTACCCGCAAAGGAGTCTATAGCCCAGTGGATTTTCTTAGACGATATGAGACCTGTTGGGGGATGCTCTTCCTCAGTTACTAGGTCCTGATGCGTTGTAGCGTCAGCAACCTCGGTGCATCCTGGGAAGTGAGCTTCCATTAGTGCTGTTAGGGCTTCTTCACTGCCCTCAGTCCACTGTCCATCTTCTCGCTTCAGCTGACTCTGTATGGTAGGTTGCTTTGATAGCAGCTTCCGAAGTCTAGCCGTTTCTGGGACTTTCTCGATATTGGAGCAGAAGTTCCTCCACGAGTTTCTTTGTGCCCTGCGTATTTCCTTCTTGTACTCCCTGAGTAGGATTTTGTATTCCTCATTGATTATCTCCTCGTTCGCCTGTTTGGCGATTTTGAAGAATTCTTTGAGGTTGTTTCTTTGGAGCGATAGGTCCCGGTTCCACCAGAGTGGTTTGGTCCTCTTTTTCGTTCTCGAGGGTGGGCACGATGCGTGGTACGCATCCAATAGTTCCCTGGATAGGGTCTCTAGGGACGTTTCTATGTCTTCCGGGGATTTTACTGTGCTAAGGCGAGTCGCGAGCTTCGAATTAACTGTCTTTTTAAACTTTTCCCAGTTTGTGTTCCGGGGGTTTCTATAAACAGTTATCTTCGGAGAGTGTTTAAATTCGCACTTGAATTGAATGTACTTGTGGTCTGAGAAGGATGGTCTTTCAAGGACTCTCCAGCCAGATACCAAAGTACTCTTTCCCGTTACGAGTGTTAGATCTAGTACGTTGGACGAGGTGGGACCTACGAAGGTGTGTTCCTCCCCTACGTTTGCTACATCTAGGTTAGTTGATAGTATGAAGTCTAGAAGTGACTCACCTCTGTCGTTGATGTCGGGGCTTCCCCACACGCTATGGTGGGCATTGGCGTCCGTACCAACCAGAAGTTGCTGGTCTTTCGGGCTGGCATCTGCCACCAGACTCCTTAGCTCTTCCGGTGGAGCAGGCCTGTCGTGTGCCATATAGCAGGAAGCTACCATAAGGTGCTTTTCCTCGCTTTCTAGCATCACAGCAGTCAGGTCATCAGTGCTGTAATGAGACAAAAGGTAAGCATGGATGCCCTTCCGTACGAGTACGGCGGTTCTGGTCCTGCTTACCGATGGTGAGTGGAAAAGGTTGTAGTTAGAGGACTTTAGTCCGGCCACAGCGTTGCCAGAGGCAATCCATGGCTCCTGGACCAAAGCTATGTCGACGGGCCCTTGCTCCATGGCGATGAGGAGCTCCGTCGACGCGAGCTTGCTTTTATGTAGGTTGAGCTGCAGCACCCCCACTGACATGGGAGGCTGGCTCAACTACACTCGACGGGTTGACTATTATTGTCAGGTCTCCGTCCTCCTCCTCTTCGGAGTCGTCCAGCGCCATACCCTGAGCGGCCTCCACGATGGACTCCAGACCGAGGTCCTTCTCCACCTCGCCTGCCTGTAGGGTGTGCGTGTCCTTGTCTTCGGGGTGGCGCTTTTTGAGGCGGAGGTATACGCTACCCATGCCCCACGCCATCTTCCCGAATCTGGGGTACAGCAGGTCCTCTGCCTCCTTGCTGATTTGGAGGATCGCACTCTGGGCCCCGTTGGGTAGTGGGCTCCCAATGTGCAAGATCCTCCAGTTCACCGTTGGCACGTCTGGGTTCTGCCGCTGTAGCAGCCTCAGCGCACGGTCTCCTTGGATTGCGATGGGGAAGAGTACCTTCGCCTTTGGTATGGACGGGATTAGCTCCCTTTCCACAACCTCCAGTCTGGCCCCCTCCCACATCGCCTCCATTTGGCAGACCGTTTGCGTCAGCCACTTGAGTGTGGGGTCGTCCATACATTTCAGTATTTTGACCCCGTTAAGCCACCCAGCACCATCGAACGTGGGCATGGGGGCTGTTGGGTCCTCCTCCATTCTTCCGAACAGCGACTCTACGAGCTGCGCGTGCACCATCTTCCACCGCGCCTCCGTCATCTTGCCATTCTCATCGCTCCGGTCAATGAGTGCCACGATCAGGTGTCGCTTGGTCACCTCATTGACTTTCGCCTTGGATTTGGGCTTCTTTGCCGTTTTGGGTGGAGGTCCCACCCTCTTGGGCCCGCGTTGCCGCTTGCTCGCCGGAGTGTCCTTACTGACGCTCTCGGTCGAGCGTTGCCTTTTGGTGGCGAGAATCTCCTCCACCTTGTTGGCTAATTCCCCCTTCGTCGCTTTCATTTGCGGCATTTTTGCAAAGTGTAGGCGGCCCTCCTCTACCTTCTGCTCGGCCCAGGCTAGCTTGGACTTCTCCTCTTGGGAGATGTCTTCTCTGCCTTGGAGCCGGCTTCGGATCTTGAGCGCCGCCTTGTATTGGGCCTTAGCCTTCATCCCCTTCCTAGAACGCTTCGGCCCTTCCCTACGCAGGGAGCTGGAACCTGGTTCAGGCGAGCGGAGAAGGCTATCTTCCTCCGTCTTGCTGACCGAGAGCACGCTCTCTAGGTCCGAGTCTGTCTCGACTAAGGCACCTGTGCGGCTCAGCTTGGAGTGAGTCCGTTTTGTGGCAGTGGCATTGCAACTGACATGACCTGCTCCCGCCATATCAGAGGTGTGACCGCTGGCGACACGTAGAGAGGATTGCTCCTCCCCGTGCCCGCCGGTGGTAGCAGTCACGCTTTCCACCGACTTTTGGGTTGACATCCCAACCCGTGTTTGACCGTCTGTCCGCTCCATACTAGGCCCGAAGGTCCATACGTAGTTGATGTTTATCGGGGGAACCACCCCCTAGCGTTTTATGCCTACCCACCAGGCACCCGGCCCACCCTGGACCCGGCCTTGGCTAGACACTGCACTACCCCGGACAGAGCAAGCGACAGTGCATTACCCGATCCGGGATAATGCAGTGCCCATTGCCCGGCCGGCACCCTCGGGGCGGGTTCAGGCCGTTTATACATATATGTATATGTACATTTGCGTATAGGAAAATGGCGGATATATAATCTCTTCGTTTTTCTTCTTTTAACTGAATCTACTTGCACTTTTCTTTATCTCTTGAAATATTCTTCACACACAACACAGACCTCTGACCAATTTGATTAATTTTTTTGGAAGATTTCGTTACTTAGCTGGAAGGTTCTCAGGAGCTAGCTGGGGCGAGCGGATGGGGGAAGATTCTCCTTGATCTTCTTGAAGGTTCTCAAAAAAACGATGAATATCCGGCTCGAAGGACCAATGTTCGTAGTGGGAGATCCTTGCCTGCTTAGTTTTCTGGGTTTCTGTGCCCAAAAACAAGAGTAGCCAAAAACGGTGTAAAATACTGCGCGTGCTCGTTTTTGGTTCTTCACGAGGATTATTTCAACTGATTTACATATAATTAAGCTTAGAACTACGAGGCAGAATTTCCCTTGATGTTAAGGGGCCGCTCCACAAGCTTTCGTGCTGCGAGAGCATAAGCTTGCCTATGCTGCCTACTTTGCGGCTTAGACAGTGATGAAGAAGAGATAGAGTTTGAGGAGGCAATTAGTTGCCATATATGTGGGGGTATCTTAAATACAGATAGGTGCTGCACACAATGCATGCAATTAAAAATACAGAATAGGGTATTTTATACCAGTTTTTTTCAACAATTTCTCCAGGTATGATTGTCATCTTTTTTACAAGGATCTGGCACTCATACCTGGAGAAATTAAAGTAATACCCGTCAATAAGGAACAGTACATTTCTGTGTCCAAAATGATAAGAATAGATGAAGAGAGGACTCTAGAAATTCGTTTTCTAGACTCAATTCGTTTTATCGGCTGCCTTGGACACTCTTGCGGGTTATCTAGAGGAAGCACAGTTAAAAACAGTAAGAAATCATTTCACTTCAGACAGTCAGTTCTAACTCATGAAAATAAACGGTGTATTTCCGTACGAGTAGCTAGACTCAGTTAACAAGCTGCATCAAGAGATGCATTCTACAGTTCGTTGAGTGAGACAGAATGATCTGAAGAAAATTATGCCCATGCACATAGAGTTTGGAGTGAATTTTCTTGAAAAACTTTACAAGATTATTTAGAGCTGTACCTGAAAACAGATGTTTTCTTACTAGCTGATGTCTTCGAAAGTTTCAGAGCGGTCGTCTCACAAGTACATCCTCTTGACCCTGCTCATTATTTCACACTTCCTGGGTTTGCGTGGGATGCTATGTTTAGAACCACAGATATTGAACTGGAACTTCTTACCGATATAGATATTTATCGGTTTATACAGTCAGGTATTCGTGGCGGTTTAACCCAATGTTCTCTCCGCCATTCACAGGCCAATAGGCCAATATGGCCCTTAGTTGTCCGGAAAAGTGCGTATGGACCTGGTGGTTCTCCTCCACCTGCTACTGGCCTGTATGTGTGCCCGCCTCTCTAGATCGCTTTGAAACGTTCTGAGGGAGATAGGCACGTTTCAGTCCTGTCGTTTGCCAGCCCGACGACTTCCTTAGCCAGCACGTCTGCTGTCTCGTTGCCTTCGATGCCCTGGTGGCTGGGAACCCAATATATCCGCACTGACAACAACATCATTCAAATACAAGTTTTTATTTTAAAACGATATTCTTGAATGTTTTAAAATTATATTATTTTTAATATTCAGGACGGCCTTCCTGATGGCACTATCCGCCGACTCGATCGGATTATTCATCCGCAAGGCTCCTGAAATAAAAAAAAAAATAATTTTTATATTTTAAATACGTTTTATCCCTTTTTATTAAAACGAATTATTGAATTGTTACACATTTTAAACTTTAATTTCGTCTTTCCGGTGAGAACCGAATAGAGCCCAGTCCGGGATCTCAGACTTTTCTTGCCGCAAGTCCCGTCGAGGTTGTAGCCTTTCACAATCTGCTCGTCCAGCACACTTTTCAGGCACCTCGACAATTGGTCCTTCTCGAGCAGCTTCCAAACTTGTTTGATCTGTAAATTATGTAAATAGTTTTAAGTTGTTTAAGATAAAGTTATATTGTAATTTTTATGCCGCATGTAGCTTCCCTCCTTGTTCCGTACTTACGTAAGCATCTTTTAGCTGAGGGGTCATGAGCTCCTCGAACATATCAAGCTCCTCCACATGCTCTCCCTTCACCTGCACCTTAACGAGAGCGGCGACTTCGGCTAGTTTGTCCGCCATAACTTCAATTTTTTCCATCAATTGACGGTTCTGGTCCCGGAGGAGCTGCATCTCTTCTGAAATATGAAAATATATATATGAAAGATTAATTTTGATAAATGGACAATTTATAAATACACTGATAAAATAATGGAGCATAAAAATATTTCTACTCTGAATAAATTTCAATCCTTACAGCATTATTTATAACATTTCTTTTCGTTTTCTAAAGTGAATAGTTACAAAAATTGGAACTGATGACGATTGGAATAAAACAAAAGTGAGCCGACGCTTCATTGCGGGATATAGATGTGCATGTGTGTGTATTCAGCACATCACATACATAGCTGAATGGTTGCATGTAGATGTGTCTGGTGCGTTTGTTTTTGTCTTACGCAGAAGAACAAATTATTTGTCTGGACGTTGATATGCAATGACTGCACCATCAAGTGGCCCATGCGACACCAAGCCGAAGCTTGTTACGCGCGAAACCCAGGCGGAAACGCAGCCCTCCTCCCGCCCAACCGACCGAGGGGCGCTGCCGCATGACGCGCGACGCGTGTTACCGAACCGATCGCGGTGTTAGACTAAAATTCGAGGAAAATTAGAACTAAAAACAACTCAAAGAGCTAAACAATATAACTAATTACGGGAAAGGTATGTTAGTATTAGTGATTTAAGAAGGGGAAGGGAATTAGTAGTTGATATTATGTGGTAGAGGGAATTGAAGTCCGAGCAAAGTACCCTAAATGGTTCGTGCAAGGAATAATTCGATCTACAAAGCGGAAGGAACAGAGGAATGAAGTTTCTAGTAGATCTAATAGGAATCGTAAAGTTTATGCGGCTCAACAAGTCAGGGCTATCTACGTCACCCTTGATCAGGTTGTGCATAAAAATCACACCAAGCATTTTTCTACGACTAACTAAGGTTGGAAGGTTTATTAAAAGCAATCTACGAGGATAAGATGGCAGTCTCACACCTGCATCCCAGTTAAGGCCACGCAGAGCAAAAAGTAAAAAGTTTTTCTGGACTGATTCTATACGGTCCTGGTGTACTTTGTACTGGGGGCACCATACACAAGAGCCGTACTCTAAAATCGGACGAACAAGCGAGATGTAGATAGTCTTCGTTCTATAGGGGTCGTCAAATTCCTTTGACCACCTCTTTATAAACCCAAGCACACCCATGGCCTTATTTACCATGGTAGAAATGTGTTCAGAAAACTTTAACTTTGGGTCTAATTTAACACCAAGATCATCAACCAAGGTAATTCTCTCAAGAGAACCACCGCAGAGGCTATAAGGAGCCAAAAGGGGGCTGGAGCGATGAAATGTCATTACTTTGCATTTCGAGGCATTTAGGTGTAACATATTTGCACAACACCATGATTGAAAGTTATTGAGATCGGATTGCAAGCGAGAGTGAAATGAAATGTCCTTATACTGGACACAAAGTTTAACATCATCCGCATACATGAGTACTCGAGAGTTTGTTAATACTGAAGGCAGATCATTAATAAAGAGTGTGAATAGTAGGGGGCCTAGATGGCTGCCCTGTGGTACTCCAGAAGTAACCTTAACAGGTGAAGAAAAGGAGTTTTTGAAGAGGACTCTTTGAGACCTAGAACGAAGGTAGCTAGAAATCCATCTCAAAAGATTAGGCGGAAACCCTAAAAGGTCAAGTTTTTGTGCTAAAAGGGAATGGTTTACAGAATCGAATGCTTTACTAAAATCAGTGTAAATGACATCCGTCTGCAAGTTACCTTGAAAGCCTTTAATGATAAAAGAGGTAAACTCTAATAAATTTGTGGTTGTTGATCGACGCCTTATAAATCCGTGCTGGGACGGAGATATAAGTGATTTGCAGAGATGTTGCAAGTGCGGAGTTAAAATTGTTTCAAACATTATAGGAATAGCGGATAACTTAGATATACCTCTATAATTATTTGCATCAGACTTGCTACCTTTCTTATGGAGCGGAATAATAAAAGATTCCTTTCTAGATGGGGGGGAAGCATGAAGAGTTAATGGATAGGGTGAATAGTTTAAGCAAGGGTCCACACAGAGCGTCGGCACAGTGCCTAAGTACACAGCCGGGAACTCCGTTGGGACCTGGTGAAAACACCGGCTTAACTAGTCGAAGATCATGAAGCAGTGAGCTTTCATTTAACAAAGGGCTGAAGATGCCATTCGACCTTGGTAAACTGTATGGATACGGCTGACCAGAGTAGCTTTCATGAGAATAGGTTGTTTGAAAAAATTTCGCAAAAAGATCGGCAATTGCCTGATCATTGTTTGCTGACATATTGAGAAAAGATAACGAGGATGGATGTGCGGACATTCTACGCTTACTATTTACGAAGCTGTAAAACTGTTTAGGGTCCTGCGAAAATCGAATCCTGCATCGAGTTAGGTAGTTTTTATAGCATTGAGCGTTAAGAACGGAGAAATTTGACCGAGCTATTATATAGTGAGAAAGAGAAGAGGGAGAACCCAACTTCTCGAAATTATTTATAAAGTCTTGATTTTTGAATTTTTTAGACTGGATAACTCTTTGGTAAACCAAGGAGGCTTTCCAGATCTTACCAGACAAGAAAGTGGGACACAAGAATCAAAAAATGTGTCAAGTACATTGTAAAAAATGTTTGTGCCTTTCATAACGTCAGTGCACAAGTACAGAGCAGACCAATCAAATTCCCAATTACCGAAGACCAAACAGTACCTGGCAAATTGAAATCACCAAGAACTATCATATGGTCTTTATCTGATAGCGGGGAAGAAACAGTTTTTAAAGCGGACAGGTGATGCTCGTATATTAAGATATCCGAGGAAGGTGGAATATACGAGCAAGTAATGAAAATGGAAAAGCCTGGGAGAATCAGTTTTACGCACACGAATTCCAGGTCTTGTTGAACCTGGACCATGAAATGTTCCGACGTGAAGTTTGAGTCCACTGCAATAAGGACTCCACCGCCACCACCGCCACCTCCACGTCGAGACGAACGGTCATTTATAAAAATTGTGTACCGACCTGCCAAAACTTCGGAACTAAGGATGTCCGGCTTTAACCAGGTCTCGGTGAACACAATAACGTGGGATGAGAATGCGAGACTCTCAAGGAAAAGAGTGCTGAGCTTACTACGCAAGCCTCTAGCATTCTGGTAGGTAACTACAAGAGAGGATGTTAGTTTTTTGGATGGGTGGAAGTAGAGGTGGAAGATGAGGATGGGGATGGAGCACTGGTCTGAATGCTAGGAAGAGTAATGGGGGGCCTATTCTTTTTCTTAGCCTTCAACTCTTTAACTACCAAATGCTCTGGCCAAAACTTGGCGGAACAAATGGTTTCAAATTGAGTTGGCGAGACGCTTATCTTGAAGGTAGATATCTCCCTGGCGTAAGAAAAGTTAAATTTTTCCACCTTTAAGCCGACGGCTTTTATTTTGCTTTGTATAAAAGCTGTCACATCATTGGATGTAAGGCGAGACAAAAACTTGTCGCTTTGGTGGGACTCCCACCAGTGGTTTTGGCACCACAGGCCTAGTACCTGGGATGGTAGTATCCGGTGGTCCTGGACATCTATTAGCTGGTGGGAGCGAAACTGAGGGTTGAGGTTGGGTGTGGACTCGATGGACACGGACTCTACAGACATTTCTAACTGCATACTCTCCGAAGTGACGCATTCGGCTCCCGAATCTGCATCACCAGCAGCGATCGTTGCCCTTGGAGTAGCAAACGTAATCAACTGCTGCACTAAGGGAGTGGTCGGAGTAAGTTTTTCAGATGCCGGCGGACATGAGGCAGTCGGCACTTGCAAGTCCCGCGGAGTAGACTTCTTGCGCCTCGGAGACTCAGCCAGCAGCTGTAAACTGCTGAACTGAGTGTTCATGGCCAAGAGCCGATCATATTGCTGTTTAAAGCCCACGATCAGCTCTTTGAAGCCACTCCGCGTCTGCCTCATGAACGAACGCATGTCGTTTTCCACAGCTCGGCATTCCTCACAACTATAATGTAGGCCGTTGTTTTGGGAAATGGCGTCTCCTACACGGCCCGAGATCCCTACACATTTTGCGTGCACTACGCTTTCGCAAAGCCAGCAGGGGATATTGGGCTGGTCATGGGTGATCTGCTTCTTGCAGGTTTTTTTGGCACAGACGACAGAAAATTCCATATTTGTCTTTTATTTTTTTTTACTTTGGGAAAAAAAAGTTCAAAACAAATAGCAATCAGACCACTGTGCAGAGCAAATGCTTAGAGCAATGCTTAAAGCGAAATCTGTAGAAAAAAGATGAGAGAGGGAGAGTGGTGTAGCAAGAGCTTATAAGTGAGAGCGTTACTGCACAGAAAGTTACAAGAGCGAGAGAGAAAGAACAGTTATTGAGAGTTAGGTGATAGAGAGAGAGAGTGATAGACGGCAAAAGCTACGACAAAGAGCGGCTAAATGTAATGAGAGGACGTACTTGCGAAAAGCAACAACACAAACACACGACTAACCGTCGCACAAAATTTATTAAATAAGTTGTGTTTTTACACAATTACACTGGTCAACACGATTTTTCCTCAAAAAACAAAACCAACTTTTTCTTAAAGATTTGGGGCTTAGAAATGGTTTGATGATATTTTTTTTTTTCTATGGCAGAACTTTTTTTTGAAGAATTTTTGAAATCTGGTATTTTAAGCTTTTTTCAGAGGTAGCGCTTGTTTTTTCACATAACTCTAGTATCTTACGTCTGGTTGTAAAGAAGCTATTTTGAAAAGATAATTAAAACAGCTAGAAGTTAACCTAAAACACTTTGTGATTTCAGCTTACCGTCTGGGAAATATAAAGCATTGAAATGCAAAAATGATGATTTTTGTGCGGTATTTTTTACGAAATTTTGACTTTAAAAACTCAGGAAAAGTCGAAAAAAAATTATATCTTGTGTCCTCTATTTTTTTGTGTATAGGTGCGTTAATTTGGCGTCGTTTAAGGTATCGCTCATTAAAATCTATGGAGAGACTTTGGAGCTAAAATTCGTTAACCAAACCTAAAATATGGAAAAAAATGAACAAAAAATACCTTTTGGAAGGTTGGGGCTCAACCTTGGGAATTGGGATGGGCCCCCCCGGCGCGGGGAGTTGTTTACCAGTCCCCACTCTATGGCTGAATTGGTATTTTTTCAAGGTACCAAATGTACAACCCTTTTTCGTTTGCCCTTAAGTTAGATTCATACATTTTAAACAAATATCCTGTAGTACTTTTTTCAACTATCTATAATACTTCCGGCCCAGTCAGAATCAACATAACCACTAAAAATGTCATCGTATTTTGAAACTTTTGAAAATGTTAATTTTAAATCGATAGTTCCCTTTAAGTATCTTAAAACTCTCTTCAAGCATTGCCATAATTCACTGTTATTATATTGAGTATATCTACTTAATAAATTAATAGATATGCTGAGATCTGGTCTTGTACATAACATTATGTACATTAAGCATCCTATCAAATTACGGCAGGGTACTTCACAATTTTGATCAGAGATCAGAGCCATCAAAATCAAGTTTAGAGGGAAGTGGCGAATTCACCGGTTTACACTCATGCATATTAAATTTAGATAGAACTGTTTTTATATAGGCAGATTGACTTAAGTGTAATTGGCCATCTTCTCGGTCAATTTTTATTCCTATAAAATATTTAATGTCTGATAAATCAGTCATTCTGAATTTTCCCATCAAATAAGATTTGAACTTATTCGTTGTTAGGATACTTTCTGTAAATGTAACTAGATCATCTTCATACAATAAGACATATATATTCTTTGAAATCTCTTCCTTATCAAGAATGTAGATACAACGATCTACTGGAGAGTTTACAAATCCGATACCCTTTAATGATTTCTCAAATACGTCAAACCAGCATCTTGCCGCTTGTTTGAGACCATAAATAGCCTTATACAATTTACAAACTTGATTACTGGACACGAGGAAACCTTGAGGAGCTCTCATATATATTTCCTGTTATAAAACTCCATTTAAAAAGGCAGTCTTTACATCCATATGATGTACTTTCAAGTTGTACTGGATTGCAAATGACAATATAAACCTAAAACTAGTTACTCTGGCAACAGGAGCAAATGTTTCATAATAGTCAACTAAATATTCCTGCGTAAAACCCCGAGCCACGAGTCTAGCTTTATATTTAATCGGTTTGCCGAATTCATTATGTTTTATTGTAAAAATCCATTTACAATCTACAATATTCTTGTTATCAGGTGTTGAGCTATTAAGCGTTTTTAATAGCTATTGTTTTATGGCCTAATTTTAATAAAGAGCCGAGAAGGTTTATTATAATAACAATTTATTAGTATGTAGCGGCAGTACATACTAGTAGGATTGGTAAAGGTATGTAGACCGATGGTTCTGAAGATCAATAATTGACTGTGAAAGGGCAGGCGTGTCGAATTACCCGTGCCCTAATGCAAGCGAGAGAGAGAGAGCAAAATAAGCGATAGAAGCTCGGGCTGCTGCTGACCCGAGTAAGAGCAATAGATAGAGAGAAAGAATGCGAGAGAGCAGCATAGATGAAGAGAACGATAGCGAAAGAAAGCTGTAAGCGAGATGCATATATAGACCGCGATTCGTGTGTCACCTATTGACCGAATATATGCGTATGTATGTATACGCGACGAGCAGGCAGGGCGGCTGGACCAGCAGACCGCGGGCGTGGGACGGCCGCCCGGCCTACGCGATGCTACGAAATAGAGAGCGAGGGAGTGTTCGAGAGAACGAGAGAGCTGATAGATCGAGAGAGTGATATAGCGAGATAGTAAAGTAAAGGAGAAAGGCACGAGTCGAAGAGACGAAAGAATGGTTGCATAGGCTATTACAGTGAGTAATTATAAGCGTTTACAATTTTATATGCAGTGGGCAATGCAAATAGCAAACAAAGGTAAAATTACGTAATTTTGCTCCACTGGTTATTATTCGAGGAATTTGTTGGGGAATTTCAGGCTGGGAAACCAGACATCAGGTATTTTAACAAGAAACCAAGTATTATTAATTAAATGTGATTCTAGCTCATCTTTTATTGCTTCTTCCCATTGTACCTTATCATTTCTTAAACTGATTTCCTCAAAAGAAATCGATGTACTTTCCATGGAACTCTGAGCATTCATCACACAATTCTGAATATCTCTATATGATAATTTTGGCTTATCTTTTAATCGATCACTTTTCCTTACAATTTTCTTTCTTCGTTTGTATCATTTGATACACTATCACCAGTAACAACTGGATCGGCATTTTCTTTTTCCGTTACCACACCACTGGGATCACCATCTGATATCTTATCAGATCCTTTTTCAATGCTTTCACTTGGACAAATGTCCTGAACATTATCCATTTCCAACTGATCACCATTTTTATTGGTATCAAGGAAATCTTCATTAAAATATTCCATACTCTCATTATGAAATTCAATGTTCTTCTTTTCAAACTCACCTCTGGAGTTTACCATGTTAGTTTCATCAAAAACAACATCTCTAGCAATTAAAAACTTCCCACTCTCCCCATCCCATACTTTATATCCATTCGGTTCATATCCGACAAGTATTCCTTTCCATGATTTCTCATCAAACTTTCGTTTTCTTAACTTTTTATGGACATACACTGTCGAACCGAATACTCTCAAATATTTGAGACTTGGCTTTTTACTATGGCACATTTCATATGGTGTTTTCTTGCATTCATTCAATGCATTACTTGGGATTCTGTTAGTCAAATATGTTTCCGTCAAAACAGCTTCTCCCCAAAAGTATTTTTGTACTTTTGCCCCTATAACCAAAGCACGAGCTTTTTCTGTTATAGTCCTTATCATCCTTTCGGACACACCATTCAACTGTGGGGTATGTGGGACTTGTAAAGTGGTAACTAATGCCCTTTTCACTGCAAAATTCTTTCATATCATTCGATAGATATTCTCTGCCATTATCAATATATAGATTTACCACTTTTAAATTAAAGTGCGCTTCACTTTTAGCAATAATACTTCCGACTTATAAGTCAGTAAGTATGTGACGCAGTAATGTGTATATTGGTCAATAAACACAACATAATAATTTTTCCTATCAATAGTTGCAGGAGTAATCGGACCACATACATCGGAATGAACAACAAACAAAGGCCTGTTAATATGATCTATGTTTTTAAACTTTTCAAATTTAAGTCTCGCTTGCTTCCTATTTATGCAAGCCTCACATAAATCTTCATTTGGTTTAATATTATTTAACATATCGATATCCTCAAACATATTATTAGCTTTTATTTCTAAATATTTTCCTTTGCTTATATGCCCTAGCCTTTCATGCCACAAATTATAATTATTTATTTTATTATGAACATTAGATATAAATGCCCTTTTTGGCATAGAAAAGCAGACCACCGGAACATTATCGATATAATTACCTTCCATAATATTCTCACCATTTTTGCTAACAGCTACACCTCCTGGATGAAATACCACGGTAACTCCTGCATCCTGCATCTTTTTCACCGATAAGAGATTTTGAGGAAGTTCAGAACAAAACAGTACATCGTTCAAAACGATTTTGGCCAGAGAATCACTGCACAACTCCATTGTGCCTTTCTTGGTTGCATAAATAAATTGGCCACACTTGGCACTGCAATTTTAATTGGTTTTTCCAAAACTTGAAGTTTATCAAACAGATTCTCATTATTGACCAAATGGTCTGATGCTCCAGAGTCCAGAACAAACGAAATTTCTTCTTCTTTATTTCTTTCACGTTTGAACATGAATGCGAAACCTTCTGGAACTTCTTCAGACTGAGCAGATGCCACTTGTACATGTTTGTTTTCATTTTTTTTCTCTCTTATAGATATAACAATATTTCTTTATATGGCCGGCTTTGCCACACTGAAAACAATTTTTATTATTATTATTAAACTTATTCTTTGATTTGAACTTGTTCTTAATTGGTTTGTAGACATAGCTTTTATTTGAAAAAGTTTTTATTTTATTCTCATTCCCTACTTTTAGTGTTGTATCTTTACTGACATTTTTCAACTTTATTTCATGGTCAAGCAGTCTATTTTTCACAAAAGCAAGGGTCAGATTATCTTCCGAAAATGTTTCAATAGCCGTTATTACACCGTCATACGATGAAGGTAGTGATAACAGCAAATGCGATACTTTGTCCAATTCATCCATTTGCGCACCGGCGGCAAACAGCTCAGCAATTAATTCGTCAAATTTATTAAAATGCTGAAACAACAAAGTATCGCCCTTCAGCTTCAATGACAACAACTGCTTTCGGACAGACAACTGCGATGCCAGACTTTTCCTTTCATAAATAGCGTCTAAATTCTTAAAACCCGTTTTAGCACTACAATCTGTTGGTGCAAAACCAAGTAAGGAGTCATTTAGATACTCTATAATAACACTTTTAGCATTTGTTTCTTGTTTCTTCCATTCTTCTGTTATTTCATCACACTCTTGATCAATAACCTTAATGGCGTCTTTTTCAGTCAACAATGCTCTTATTCTAAACTTTCAAATGGAGTATTTTTCTCCATCAAATGGTTTTATGTTTCGCTTTCCCTTTTCCATTATATATAAATTAAAACTTTATTTAGACCAGTCTTCAATGTTTAATCACAAACGCTGTTATTAGTTTTATTTTAATTTAATATACATATTTCGTTTTCTTATTTCTTTTCGTTGCACACGACTTGTCACGGTAATGGAATAAAACAAAAGTAAGCCGACGCTTCATTGCGGGATATAGATGTGTATGTGTGCGTATTCAGCACATCACATGTGTCTGGTGCGTTTGTTTTTGCCTTACGCAGAAGAACAAATTATTTCATCATCCATTTACAGTGTAAATTTTACACACATGTACTCATACATATAGATCGATGGACTTCTTCTGCATTTTTCAACAAAAATCAACTATAACGCTTGATTTCCTGTCAATTGTGTTCATGTTGGTTTGAGATTTTGTAAGAAACTGAATGAGCGATGATTGCTATCCCCTTTGTATACAGCTCAATTTAGTAATAGTTCATAGTTTAACAAAAGCATTCAACCCTAATGGACACGCTTCAATCAAAAAGAATTAGGTCGGCTATTAGGTCATTAGGTCATTTTCGGACTCGAATATTATGTGATTCATAATTTAAAGTTAAAGTGTGGGTTTTCAACTTCAAGAAAATTCACTCCTATGATCTGGATGCAGCAAAGCAAAAACAATTTCGTTGGATTAGATAAAGATGAATGGATGCAATTGATTACATACAAGGAGTATATTCAATTAAAACTTGACCAGTATGATTTATTGATGCCTGATGCAATTATAGATCATCCCCTAATGACCACTATTAAATGTAGTTTTAGATTCCGAAAATCCGATAAGCAGTATGTTTTTATAATAAATCAGTTTGGAAATAAGATTGAATTTGATAGTGATTAGTGATCATTTTTAAGATTAAGTATATTTTTTACTACATTTTTATGTTGGAATACGATACTTAAACAACAAATTACATTCCTGTACTATAATAATATTATTCCCAAATGTGCTGCTTTACAAAAATTTGATATTCAACTCTCTGACTTAGACGGTACTTATGATAGAAATGTTCAAATAGATTTAACGCGTTTATGCTTTGAAATTAAAAAAAAAAAATGTATATTCAAATAAAACGCGATGTTCTATAATCAATCACTTATGAATACACAATCATCCAGAAACAATAATAAAAAATAAAAATGAAAGAGACGTGTGAGTCGCTTCGGGGACGCGCACATACCCGCGTCAGTATATACATTTTGATAGATTTTTAAGAATTTTAGAAAAAAAAAAAATTTTACATTTTACATTTTTTTTGTACATCTACATATACAATGTATATTCACATCTTACATGTAGATTGTACATGTTCCAATTATACCATCCCCTCCGCCAGGGGTTGCTCGCACTGAACGCAGCAGAGTGTGCGAGTGAGAAGGAAAATGAGTTGAGTTGTCGTGGGGGAGGGGGGGGGAAGCAACTGAAAATTAATTTCTTCATTCTGGCTATAATTATGATCCGATCTGATTCAGATTGGCAATCTGGTGGCACCGCGTTCAGTCTCCAAAACTGTGCCTGCCACGATTTCGTCCTTTGTGTGGGCGGAAGGGGGCGGGGGAAGTTTCGAAACACTTGGGAGTGTGACACATGAGTCTGGAAACCAAATTTGGTTCCTGCAGCTCCTTATAGCTCTGAGTCCAGGCGCTCATCAAGACGGACGGACGGACAGACGGACGAGACGGACATGGCATATCGACTCGGCTATTGATGCTGATCAAGAATATATATACTTTATGGGGTCGGAAACGTTT